AAGCAGTGGGGGGGGGGCACCTGGGGGGGGGGCGCACAGAAATTTGTTTGGGCTTCGTGCCCCCCCCAGGCCCTTCCGTAGCTACGCCCCTGAATTTAAAGGCATCTTTAACGTTTTAAGCAAGGATTATAATTGCAGAACTCTAAATAACAAATTAATCAGCTATTTTCATCGCTGATAGTTTTCACAAGTAAACTGCTATTGACACAGCAGTACAAACGAAACGAAGGACGGCCGTTTTAACCCGACACGGGGGTGGGGGCAAATCGCGGGCAATACTTTGCTTGGTTAGATAATATAATAAAGAAGAAGAAGGGGTGGGCAGAAGAAGGAGGATAATGAGAGAGAAACAACTACAAGTAAAATGTAGTGGATGAACAAAGGAGGATGACGACGAAGGTGGCGGTGAGAAGCAGAGAAGGAAAACTACCTCATATTAGTCGCTCATAGGTTGCGCTGTCTAGCAACATGTCTGCGCCCATGATAGACGTAACGTGCTGAGGTAACGGGGAGGTAACATATCGTAGTTATAACAAGTACAAGTAGTTCAAGTAGTAGTACTAGTAGTAGTAGTGAACAGTCGAGCCTGGCCCTAGGCTATGGACTCAATTAATGCAAATTAGCAACTGGTACATGGTCGTATCATAGAAGTGCACCATGGCAAAGTTCAATTGGCTGTGCGGCCACTTCGGTTCAAGGATAGAGAACATGGCCATGGGTCCAATAAAACAATGTCATTTACATCAATATAAATATAATATATATCAATATAATATGGTAGGGTTTATGGTTAGGTGTTAGGGTTAGAATTAGGGTTAGGCGTTATTGTTAGGCACATTGGTTTTTATTTGGACCATGTTCTCTATCTTGAACCAACCTGGCCTACATAAATATGGCTACATGATACATCCACCAGATCCACGTATAGGTTGTAGCAGTGGCTGGAGGTACGGCAGCCGTATCTCCAATTTACGAGCGGGAGTACGGCAGTCCATTCGCTTTCATACAAACGGAGAAAAGATGGCGGCGGGATGCCGCAGATTAGAAATAAATGCCTGGGAAATAAATTCACAATTTGAGAGTTTTGATGAGATAGAAAACACTCGGATTCCAGCCAGCCCAGCCCAGCCTAGTCCAAGCCGACGCAGACCCCATGCAGTAATGGTAACGGTATATATAAACCCGCACCCTCAGATTAGCAAAGCGGAGTTATAACGTTTGCATTTGCGGACTAAACCCAGCCCAGCCCAGCCCAGCCAGTGGACTAGAGGAAACGTGTGTCCACAAAAAGTTGAAACTTTCTTACATTGGTATATATGTGGTCGGGTACGTGTATGTAGGTGCGTGTTTCATAAAAAAAAATCATGATTTATGGTGAAAATGCCACTTAAACTTTAAAGGTTCCTACAGTGTAGTAAATGTTAGGTAGATATAAACCGCACAGGCTCTCCGACTATAGTTACACGGCGGAGTAGTCGAGTTCCTCTGACCAATGCCCACACGGACGGTTTTGGTGTGGTTAGGTCAGAGCAACTTGCCTATGCAAAACGTGGAATTTCTCCGATCCCGCCGAGGATCGCTGTTTCATTGCTCCAAACTCACAATTTGGGCTATCAATCAAGATCTGATGCACATATATCGAAAACTGGATAACTTATATGCTTGCTCGCGTTGGAAGTACACTTGTACTCTTTTACCTTAGTCGTATTTCGATTGAAAATTTGTGCTAACAATTTCCCTCCGACATGCATCGGCCATCCATCGTTAATCCAACTGCATTGTGGGAAACAACAGAGTAGCGTATTGTAGCGTGGTTCCCACAATGCAGTTGGATTAACGATGGATGGCCGATGCATGTCGGAGGGAAATTGTTAGCCAACAAATTTTCAAATCGAAATACGACTAAGGTAAAAGAGTACAAGTGTACTTACCAACGCGAGCAAGCATATAAGTTATCCAGTTTTCGATATATGTGCATCAGGTCTTGATTTGATAGCCCCAATTGTTGAGTTTGGAGCAATGAAACAGCGATCCTCGCCGGGATCGGAGAGAAATTCCACGTTTTGCATAGGCAAGTTGCTCTGACCTAACCCACACCAAAACCACCAAAATCGTCGTGTGTGGCATTGGTCAGAGCGAATCTCGGGATAACGGCGGAGGAGCCTGACACCACTGGAGCCTGAGCTAGGCCTCTCGCCACGTAGTGTTAAGCGAGATGGGAACTTGTGGCTAGGTTAGATATAGAAGGTTAATAGTACAAAAACCGTTTTTTGTGTGAGTTTTTTTTATTGTTATAGAGCTTGAAATCTTTATTTTTTTAAGAATGCAATGAAAGCAATGATTTCTGGTAATTTATATCACCAGTATTTAGTATATAACTTTAAAAAAATCTTCATGTTGATGTGTTTGTTTTAGGAAAAATGGCATCCCAGGAAAGTACAGGCACTTACTGCTATTGCAAAGCAAAGAGCTTGGAACCTCCTATGCTGGAATGTAAACAGTGCAGACGGTTGTTTCACACAGGTACTTTTATAAAGTTGGGTTGGGCAGGTGGCCGAAACTGCCCACTTTATAATAAATTAATTAACTACATGCATCCACCTATAGTATCACAACAGGAAGGTATATACGATATGGAGTTTGTGTAAGTCTAAAAGTCGTTTTCAAAATAAGTAATTTAAGGGCATTTCCTTGAGAGTACCCGGTAGTCATAAATTTGATTGCTTTATTTATCTTTGTTTCTATCAATATGCAGATAGCAGTTGCATGGTTTCAAAGGACCTTCATAATATAATGCACTTAGATTTAGATTCTATGTAGACCTGTTTGTGCTTCTTATCACTGTTGCTATTACAGATGTTGAATCAGTAAATGTCCGTAATGTTGAATATGTATTTTCTAGGTTGTTTAAACCAGCCCCCGCCAACATATCTGGAGGGTGATGTATTCTATGAAATTATATGCTGTGGATGCAATGGATTGGAAGTTGAATCTTTTGAAAGGATGAAAATGTCATGGTAGCTCATTATTTCATGCTATTTTATGGATATTTGAAAACCTTTTGAAAACAGTTTTACTCAATTTTCTATTTATAATGCATGTGAAATACATCGTGTAGGATTTTAATAATGGGATGTGAATTGCATCTATTCTTCAATAGAGGTTCCCTCTATAATCTGTAAGTAGGCCTACTATTGCAGAAGTGAATTTATCCAAAGAATACTGTAAAGTAGCTGTAAATATATTTTATGATCAATCCACATCATTATTCTGGTGGCAACAGCTTCGACATATGATGTAGTTGCCTTTCTTAAGTTAAATAAAGTTAATTTATCTTCTCACCACATGGCATCAAGTTTATTTAGTTTGACATTAACCTGTATGATACAGGCGTATGTTCCGCTTCACTATACACTAACCGCCTGTACGCGAGCTCAACCCTGGCGGTTCGCAAGCCTCGTTATCGATCGACCGGTTGTTACGGTGGGGAATCTGATTAGCGGCGAGCAATCGAGAGTACAGAAGTAAATCTGGCAAAACTTTGCCCCAGGCGAATACCTGATGAATGGAAACAATCTAGTTAATGGCTTTGGCAGAAGCGTGCACTAATTGCAGTTATAAATTCAACTTAAATAACTTGAGAAATGACGTCAGGCAAAAGCCTGCTCGCTGATTGGCTGATTGGCCCGTTACAGCTCTCTGATTGGGCGCAATGATTTCTTGGTTCGCGAAGCGGGCTGAATAAGCAAGGGGTACAGGTGGTTAGTGTAGTGAAGCGGAACCGGAACCGCCTGTATCATACAGGTTAGTTTGACATAGGCAACTATAAACAATTGGCAGCACTGTTGCCAACAGGTTATTTATATGGATTTATCATAAAATAATTTTACTCTTATATATTATCCTGAAATCTGATGAACTTATTTTAGGGAATACTATAAAAATTAGACATTCACAGTATTCTTGTTTTCAGGCTACAAGCTATATGGCTGTCATTATACAACCTGCAGTTGTCTGGTGTCACAGGAAGACAGGGATATTTCAGATGGAAAGAGAATATATGTGCTTTCATAGAACGCAACTGGAACCTATTGTTTACTCCAGAAAGGCAAGTTTATATGCGCACTTTCGCTTGCATTTTTTCGGTTATCGGAAAGGAAAACTAGGTGTTTATTCTGTCCCTTTATTAATTCTTTTCTTCCCAGGAAGCAGACGGCAACATGGCAATGTACTGTGGCAAGTGTCCTATCATCAAACTGCCCCAAAATATTTAAATCAGGAGCTAGTGTGATAGGACAAAGTGGTTGGTGGCGGCTATTGGAAACTAAACCACCAGTACCAGATATGGGTAAGTTAATATTCATGTTTGCCCATTTCAAGTGGAAACATGTAATTGATGGGATTTGTTTTGTGAGCTTAGAGCATCGCAATTTCATAAAATCCCTGTGCAGTAAAATAATAATGTTAATCCACTCATGAAGTGCATCTTGCAGTTATTAATCCTGAAAGAATATTGAACTGTGAATTGAAAATGTTTATAAGAACCCCGTGTTTTGTGAGAGATAAAATCTTGAGTATATGCCCCTCCACGTCTGCAGACGTGCAACTAATGATGAGCTCCTTGTAATAATTCCGATACGATCACAGAGGCTGTATGTGGCTGCTGGTAATAACAGAAAGAGATTGTGTGACATAGTATGTCGAGTTTCTTCCAGGCCAATCGACCAGAAAGACGAGGATCAGAGGCCGAGAAACAGACTGGCTGCTTATGCATTCAGGCCGGGTAAAGGCAGAGGGTCTGCGGACTCGCAAGCATGGCTCACCAATAGATGCTGCCATCGCACTAAAGGCAAAGCGATCTACTACACAGGTGCAGTGCGTGCATACATGTTACAAACTACTCCATACACTATGTATCTATGTATGCATGTACATCTATGTATTTATACATTTATCTATATATTTGACTGTCTGTCAGGCTGTCTGTCTGTCTGTCAATTCTGTCATCTGTTCATCCATCTATCCATCTTTCTATCTATCTAATTGTCAACTGCAATTAAAACAACTCAGAAATTCATACATGTAGTGTTAATAAAATGCAATTCTGGATTGTGGTTATAATAGTTCTAAATCTCAATCTTGAATGCATTATGGCTGCTAAATCAAGTTTCTAGATATAGATGAGGAAGTATGAATACACCTTTTACAGGAGGCTAAGGAGATGAGAAAGAAGAAAGTGACCGAAAGCACTGCACAGCATGTAGCTTTGCCCAGAAAACATGTCGAAACAGAGATCAAGTCTAGGTCAACGTCAGCAGCAGTAGCGCCACCCTATGAAGCAAATTATCAGCCGGCCGTGATTGCTGCATCACCACTGCCAGAAGCTAATAACTCCAACTTATTAAGCGTTAATGTCTCTGACAGTGACTTGACTGCTGAACTTCAGAGCGAAGAGACGAATGATTTGGAGCGCTGTGGCATTGTACCCGTATTGCCTGTATGCACGAAAAACGTGCAGACCTACGCATCTGCGTCAGACTTGTCTAACAGCCCTGCAGAATCGCTGGAGGATGGGAAGCAAACTACAGATCATGGAACACAACACACACTAAAGCACACAACGCATCAGACGACAGAGCAGACGATGCAGCAGTCAACAGAGCAGACGAGAGATGTTGTAGTCCCTGCTGCTGCTGGCAGACAGCTATGTGACGCCTCCCTCTCGAGTCGGGAGGGTCTTCTGCAGCTGTTGCACAAACGACGGAAGAATGAGATGGACTTCCTCCATTCGGGAGATCTGAGCGTTCACGGTAGGATTCTTTCGGACGTAACCGGGAGAGTATCTATCATGTTATTCATTATACGTGGCTGTACTAGTATGTGGTAATACTGTGCCTCATTAGAAGAAGAATTACTCGAATATTGTTTTTGTCTCAATGAGGTTGTGGTCAGTCTATCTATCAGCCATTGTAAGGGAAAATATTAATGATTAATGACGTGGCTACGCCACCACGAAATATCTTTCTCATTTGTGCCCCTTTTGCTCAAATTTGGCATGATGTACATGTCGTTGTTGCCATTAACTATTTTTTAATGTAATTTAATTAAATTGTACAACCTTGCAGAGAGCCTGCCAGATACGCTACTGACAGAAGAGGATGATTCGGAAATAATGGACATTGACATTGAGATTGATCCATGTGCTCTTGACTCTGACTCAGAACCTGTCTGCAGAATGGACTCTCCCAACATGGACGACATTCTCGCGAATCTAGATGGTAAATTATTACATTCTTTTACGATGATAGCTTCACGTTGTTACATGGTTGCTTCGTGGTTCCACACCAGTGTGGCATTGTGAAAATTGTAATTGTCATCCTACACCTAACATTGGGATCATTCCAACAATGTTGCCTGGTTTCATGTGCAAATGTGCTGCCATTTTTGCAGACAGTGTTGCCAGCGTTGAGACGAAACGGCAAAGTGACGAGGTTGTCATGGAAACGTCCAATAACGACACTTCCGTGAGAGGTGAGGAGTCGGAGGTTGAGTCTGAAAGCTCAGAAGAGTCCAAGTCGGAATCTGAGGAAGAGGGAGGCGTTTCCCATCAGCCAGAGTATTGCTCCCTTGAGAAACCCATAAAAAGGAGAAGGAATAAAAAATTTGAGAATCTGGTTGAGGAACATCCTAAACCCAGGTAAATATCTGCTGGCTGTGCATTTCCAGACTGCAGGTGCCATTGCGCAATGCCATTGGAATCTTGAAAAGTAACACCGTGTAACTACAGAAAATTATTGCACCCTTAATTCATACCGTGTTCAACAGTGAGGTAAGGATTTGGTATATGGTATGCCCATAGCATAACCATAAGAGAATTTATTGTAACATAATGCTCAGTCACTAACACTAGCAGTGCTACTAGTAATACTAGTGTTAAGTAATACTTGGGCAATTAGTTACTCATGTTGAACTGGCATATATGTCTCAAATTATCCACATTGTGAATGGTGAAATTTGGTAGTTTCTTTACAGTGTCCTGAAATATAAAGACCCTGAAAATTTCTGGTCTCTCACTATAAAGTTACAATATCGAAAAATGCACTATGATTATTTATTAGGTTATTTGTAGCTGTAGCATCTTAGGTAATAACCCGTGATTTAAATGCCCGTTCTTTTTTTCCCATAAGGTTTTTCCCAGTAAGTTTGTATGAAGAGAAACAGTTGCTTAGGAAATTGACGCCTGTGAGCTTCGTCGAGCTGCCTGAAGCTCGTCGACTACGGAGAAAGCTCATGCTCAGACAGGTGAGCGATATTATATACTATTGGACTGGAGCCCATTGATGTCATATACCTCAATAGGAAGTACTACAGCGGGGCAGGGTTAGCTCTAGTACATTGTATAGGTGACTTTGGTATTTCACAAATGAGCAGTGTTATGGTTCGATATAAACAACCGTGCGACAATTGAATGATTAAATTATAATTATTAATAATAATATTATAGGCCTTAATTATTAGCTCATCTGACATAGTCAGATGCAGCTTGTAGAATCGCATGATCGTCCGTGCGTCCGTGCGTCCGTCCGTCCGGGCGTCAACAGTTGGGCACAAATCTTAACCGCTCGACGTACGGTCACGATATTCGGGACGTGGGGGGGTAATCCGAAAACGAGTTGGGATGTCGAAGCTGGAGGTCAAAGGTCAAAGGTCAAAGGTCAAGAA